TGGGCTTGCCTGTGTTGGGGGTGCAAGCACAGGACGCTGCAGAGAGAATGCTTTGGGCTTGCCTGTGTTGGGGGGATGCTCTTTAGATAGTGCCCTAAAAGAACAGGATATCTCTGAGCAGAGGGGACAGTGGTTCAGCTGAGATAATTTTTACCGGAAGTTGATGACACCTTGGAACATTTGGAGTTGTTAGCGAGTTGCTGTTGTTAAATACCAATCCCTATCATTCCAAATCCATTGAGGCAGTAATCATCACTGCCATCTCTTTGAAAACAATTTTAAAAAGTATTTATCCTAAGTTCTTTTTAATTTTTATTTTTGAGACAAGTCTTATCATACTGTTAGGGTGGCTTTGAAGTGACTCCAAAGCCCATGGTGGTCTTGAACTTGGATCTTTCTAGCTCCTGAGCAGTAGAATCACAACCTGACCCAGCAGTCCTACTTTTGGAATACTATTTTACCTCTCTGTTTCTATCTGTCTGTCATCTTTGTGTATGTGTGTTTATTTATACTGTGTGCGTGTGCGTGTGTGTGTGTGTGTGTGTGTGCATGTATGTCGGTGCAAAGGCAAGAAGTCAGTGTGGGGCATCTTCCTCTTTGTATACTTTGTTTTGAGACAGAATCTCTATCTGAGCCCGGAGCTCGATGATTGACTAGACTGGCTGGCCATAAGACCCTAGGGATCTGCCTGTGTCTGCCATCTGTTCCAGGGCTGGAGTTGCAGGTGTATACCTCCATGTCCAGCTTACCCCAGGGCTGGGTCCAACTTAGGCCCTTCTGCCTACTGAGCCCTCCAGCATGAGTGCCTTAGCAGCCACACACCCCTGAAGGAGATTCACATTCCCTAACTCAGCCGCCACCAACTGCCTCCAGTCCTCTCCTCTACAGTGCAGGAGTGTTGACTGGCTTGGTCTTAAGCAGGTAAACACTGACAGGACAACCCTGTCAAGTCCAGCAGACATCTTTGTATAGCATCCCTCCCTACCTCCTGGCTCTTACATCATTTCTGTTGTCTGTGGTGGTGTCCTCTGAGCCTTGGGGGGTAGGGTGGGGTTGAGGTTGGTGCAGGCGGCTCATTTAGGGCTGAGCACTCGAAGCTGCTTATTCTCAGCACTGTGACCAGTTAGTTACATTAGACGCTGCTCAGCATAAAAAGGAAGTTCTCTAAACATCACTAACCTATGGGTGTAAACATAAATATTTAGAGGAATATTTGACAATTTGAGCTTTAGCAAAATAACAGTTGTAGGTTTGGTCTCTAGTGCCTCTGACCTCCCCAGTGTTTGCTGCTTTTCTACAGGACCTGAGTTTGGTTCCTAGCACCCATGTCTCATAACTGCCTAACTCTAACTCCAAGGGATTTGATGTCCTATTTTGTTTTTTTTTTTTAATCTACAATGGTTTTGCTTATATATTGTTTTTTTCTTTTTGCATTTATGGGTTTTCTGTGTGCGTGCGTGTGCATGCGTGTATGTGTGTGAATATGTATGTCTCCGCATCTATATGTCTTTCTTGTTCTTATTCTTTGGTTCTTCTTTTCCTATTTGTTTGTTTTGTCCTATTCTGATTAATTTTCTTTTCTTTTATTATTATATGCCTGTTTCTGAGAGAGAAAGAAAGGGTGTAGATTTGAGTGGGTGGGGAAGGTCTAGGAGGAGCTAGGGACATTATAGCCAGAGTATATTGTACGGGAGAAAAAGAATCTGACTTGGTTTTGGTTTATTCTTGGTGTGGCAGTGGTTTTGCTGCCCACGGGAGTGAGGCTCGGCCTTCCTTCCGTCTGTTCCCACTGCTTTCCTTTTCCAGATGCCCGATGTAAAAGGGAGCGGAGAAGGAGGAAGAAGGTGACCAACATTGTCTCTTTTGATGATGATGATGAGGAACAGGGCACTGGGGACACTTTAAAAAAGATGCCCGGGACTGCAGAAAGCTCGGAGGAGAACTCTGACCGATCCTCTGTCAACATCATGGCAGCCTTTGAAGGCCCCTTTGGGCCAAATTCCAACGGGAGCCAGAGCAGCAACTCATGGAAAATTGATTCTGTATCTCTGAATGGGGAGCTGGGCTACCAGAAGCTTGATGTGCAGAGCATTGATGACGACGTGGATGAGAACGAGGAGGAAGTGTACAGGAACCCGTTAGGGAGGGTGCAGACGGGCCACGCTGAGTCACCAGACAGGTGAGTTCTGCTTGAGCTCTTCACGAGGGAGTCACGTGACCTTGTATGGTGAGGGAGCTGTTTTCTAGGGAAGCCAGTGGAGTGAGTGAGTTTTGGGGCTGGGGAAATGGCTCAGTCAGTAAAGCCCTGGCCATGCAAGCCTGACAACCTGAGTCCAGATCCCCAGCATCCCAGCTGGATGCAGCAGAGCAGGCGCCTGTTATCCCGGCACTCTCAGGGAGAGATGGGAGGTGGGTACCACTGGACGCTTGAAGTCAGATAGAACAAGAAAGATCCTGGCTCAAATGTGGTAGAAGAACAGCATGGACACATGAGCTTGAACTCTGACCTCCACGGGTGCACCAAGGCATGTGTGCATCATCCACGGGTGCACACGTGAACGTGGGCGTATGACCATGTACCACATATACACATAAAAATAGTGCAAGTGTTGTATTTCTTTGGAGGCATTTTTCATTCTTTAGATCTTTTTGACCTTGTCCTGATGAGAACTAAGGAAATGGAGTCTATTTAAGTGGATTTAATACAAAATTAGCATCCGAATGTGTACTTGTAATTTTTGCTTGAACATAAGGCTTTGGCTTTCACAAGGCTGGGATTTCCTGTGTCTCTAACCTGTCACAAACTCATGAGGAAAGTAGACTTGGCTTGGAGAGGTATCATTGATTAGATCTTCAGAGCCTAAGACCTTAGTTTTCGACCTTCCTAATGCTGTGGCTCTTTAATATAGCTTCTCATGCTGTGGTGACCCCGACCATAAACTTATTTTCATTGGGACTTCGTAAACGTAATTTTGCTCCTGATATGAACCATAATGTAAATATCTGTTTTCTTTTTTTTGTTGTTGTTGTTGTTTTTGTTTTATTGAGACAGGGTTTCTGTGTAGCCCTGGCTGTCCTGGAACTCACTCTGTAGATCAGGCTGGCCTCAAACTCAGAAATCTGCCTGCCTCTGCCTCCCAAGTGCTGGGATTAAAGGCGTGTGCCACCAACGCCCGGCTATATCTGTGTTTTCTGATGATCTTTGATGATCTCTGTGAAACTGTTGTTCAACCCCCCAGAGGGTCATGATCCACACAGGTTGAGAACTGCTGGCCTGAGAAAAGATAATTGTCTTGTGTAACAAAGACAACCTAAGACCTTGGCAGGGTTGGCGACATGGCTCCATCAGTAAAGAGCTTGACTGGTATGCACAGAGTTCTGGGTTTGTGCTCCGGCACTTCCTAAGCTGGGTGTGCTGGGACACCACACACCCCGTGTGTGTGCTGGCACATAGCTCCCATCAGCACTGGGGCAGGGAGGCAGGCAGGAGGAACAGAAGTTCAAGATCAGCACCCTGGCTCACATGAGACTGTCTAAAAAAAAAAAAAGCAAGGAAATGCTGAGAGCAGCACTACACCAGTGACCTTCAGCCAGTGTGGCACTACTTCGGGTTAGTGGGCATCACTTCTGTCTGGTTCGCAGAGGAAAGAGCCAAACCACACAATGTCTGAGGCATTTGACGCACATACCAGCACAGTGAGTGGAGTCACACACGCATGTACGGGTGCAGAGTGATATCCCACATGTACTGGCATACTGAGTGATGTTACAAACGTACTGGCACACTGTGTGGTGTCACACATGTACTAGCACACTGAATGATGTCACACAGACAAGCTGCTACTGCTGCTGGCTGTTGTTCACGGTTCTGTATACTCCCACTCTTTACAGATGCACTAGCCAGTTAAGTACTGTTTCTTTTCAGCTCTGAGTACGTGGTGCTAATCATGGCTGACTTCATGATTCTTCCTGGTAAAGTGTGTCATGAACAGATGTGAAAGTGTCCTTCTGTGGGACTGAGATGCCATGGTGTCCTTAACATCCACAGGGGGCCTCCAGTGCTGTGCTTCTGATGTTCATGTTTGTATAATGTTAACTTTTTTTATTTCATTGGAGACAAAGTTTTACAAAGTTTTTGGGGCTGGAGAGAGTACTCAGCGTTAATCAGACTTGTTGCTCTTGCAGAGGACCCACATTTGATTCCCAGTCCCTACACAGTGAGCCACAGTCATCTGTAAGGCTACTCCCAGGGGATCTGATGCTCCCTTTCTTCTGGTCTCTGTGGGTACCATGCATGTGATACACATGCACACATGCAGGCAAAACATCCACACACATAAAGTAAGTACATCTAAAAGTGTGACACGTGCACTGGCCATCCGCCTGTGCTCGTCTGTCATGCGCCCCATGCTGCAAGCTTCAGAGGAAAGAAAATTTCACAGTTGAGATTTGGCAAAGAGGTTGGCCATGCTGGGAGTTGGGTCCACATACACTGCCTCCCAGAACTTACTATTTTTCTTTTCTTTCTTTCTTTCTTTTCTTTTTTTTTTTTTTTGGTTTTTTTGAGACAGGGTTTCTCTGTGTAGCCCTGGCTGTCCTGGAACTCACTCTGTAGACCAGGCTAGCCTCGAACTCAGAAATCAACCTGCCTCTGCCTCCTAAGTGCTGGGATCAAAGGCGTGCGCCACCACTGCCCGGCATTATTTTTCATGTTATTACATAATTCAGTTGTTTTATATAATGATCACCTTTGCAGAAGCGTGAGATTCCCAGGTTAAATTCTTGTTTCTGGAGTCTGGGAGAGTATTCAGGCTGAGATCAGTGTTTGTGTGGATTTACTAATGATAGGGCTTTCCTGTTAGCCAGAACCTGACATGAGCAGAGGGATCTGAGGGAGGTGGGAACAGCTTCGTTCACGTCTGACAGTGTGAGCTGAGGTGCTAGTGTTCTCCTGTCCATGGACTTGGACCACACAGTTCTCCTACTTCTCAGAAGCACAGCGCTAAGGAAGGCTCCTGGATTTCAGCTCCCACACTAGAGCCTGTAGGACACCCAGCATGCAGTCTCACGAAGCAGGACCTCATGGAATCCCTCTCATTGGTTCTGTGTCTGCAGAACCCTCTCTTGCTAAATGCTTCTGTCACTGTTGATTATTTATGTTGTTTGCTTTTATTGTTGTTTTGGGGTAGGGTCTCTGGATGTAGCTCAGGCTAGCCTTAGATACATCATCTTGCCTCTAGAATGTCATCTGTATAAGGCTATTTTCTACACCCAACTATTTGTTCAAGTCATTTCCCAGCAGCAGTATTCATATCCACAGACTATGGATGGTTTGAGCCCAGGAACGAAGTCTGAGCCCTCTTGTTTTAGTCATAATTCTGTGAAATAACTAGTGTTGTGTGTTCCTTCACCACTTTAACTCTGCCTGTATGTCACAGTCTCTTTGTTTGTGTTTGTTTGTTTGTTTATTCTGAGACAAGGTGTCATGTAGCCCAGCTTGGCCTGGGCTGAGATTCTGGTATGTATCTCTATCCCTGTCTTGTTCTGAATTTTCTTCTTCTTGATTTGGATAATTGACACTTGGGATTGTGGAGTGTGATGAGTTTAACTCTGTAGGTAGACTGGCAGGGGGAGTCACAGTTCAAATCCAGAGACAGTTTGCTGGTGGAACTCTGTCTTTCTCTGGAGAGGTTGGTGTTTTTGTATTACAGCCTCTGTTGTTTGGCTGAGGACCACAGGACAATCTTTTAACTAACACTCTACTGATGCAAATGTTAATCTTTTAAAAAATATCCTCACAGCAACTTCCAGCATAGTGTTCTACTAACTATCTGATAAAGTTTCCCAACCAAGTTGCCACAAATATTTATTGAAACTGCCTTTAGTTCTGAGTGCCCTTGGAATGCCGCTGCATTCTGTGGCTTTGAAGATGATGGGTTGTGTGAGTCAATGCCTGAAATCCGGGCATCTCTCTTCTTACCCTTGGTGCCAGTGGTGTGCAGCCTGGAGGGGGAGACCACCTTGTAAGAAAGGGTGGCTGCTGGCATTGTGATGTGTAAAAGGCACAAAGCAGTGTTGGGTGACCTTGGGAGCCTGGGCCTCCATTGACCATGGACAACCTCTCACCAGTGTACAGGGGCATCTTGATTGAAGAGTCTGCAGAGCAACCTGGGGAGGAGCTGAGCAGTGATGAGTGGCTTATTGAGTAATACTTGGCTTTTGGGTTAAGCTCATCATCACAGGAGGGGTCTAGAGTCTGCACACAGCAGTCATGTTGGGGAGTGTGGCCAGGCTAGGGGGCTCAGCTAGGCTTGCTATTGCTTCTGGCAAAATCTGATGCTTGCTTGTTCTTCGGATGGTCTGGTGGTCCAAATTTGGGCTTTCTCTGTTTGTTGGTAATTTACTCATTTCTTTGGTAGCAGATCCCTCTTTATCCAGTATCTATCACAAACATTGGCTTGGCTTTTTGTTTTTCTTCGAGATAGGCAATAGCTTAAGCTTAATTATGGCAAGGAGAGTTGTGCTCTGACACCAGTAAAGAAGTGAGTTTGGAGGATGTTGGGGTAACGCAGAGGTACAAGCATGAGCCATGTCCATCACCTAGTGACTAAGCTCCTCATACCTGCTAGGAGTCTACAGCAAGAGTGCCCTGAGCTGTAGCTGAGGCCTGTCCAGTACAAGGACCAGGCTAGCTCCACGGCCCCAATTCCAGGCCCGAGCAGACACTTGCACAGGCAGGCATGAAGGCTGTGCATGGGGGTTGCTGATATTGGGGGTTGGGGGGTGTTGTGTGTGTAAGATGGTTAACAAAATATTTGAACCTGGGTGGAGAATCTGCCCTGAGGACATTGTCTTAACTCAGGAAGAGCTGAGCAGCAAGATTCCAAAGTCCTGTTCAGAGAAGCAGAACACCTGGTCTGACCTGAATATGTACCAGGCATGACCCTGCCAAGGAGTTTGTCCTCATGTGTGCAGAGCATAGAATCCTAACACTGTTTTGTTCTTAGAACTGGTTTTGTGTAATTAATTAATTAATCAATTAATTTATTTTGGGGTGAGGAGAGGCCCTTGGGCAATTTTCTTCTGTCAGTTTGTTTTTGCAATATTAGGGATTGAGCTCAGTTTTCTGTAGCCCTGGCTTTCCTGGAATAGGACAGGCTGATAATAGACCAGGCTGGCCTTAAATTCCCAGAGATCTTCCTGCTCCTGCCTTTGAGTGCTAGAAATAAAAGAGTACACCAGAATGTTCACTGTGAACATCTTATGTGATGAGTGAGCTTGTCTGGTAGTATGGAGATGAACTTGTACAGTAATGTTGAATGGGAAAGATGTAGAAAGTTTATGTGCACTGTCACTGTGATCATGTAAGCGAGGAGAAATGGCCACCACTGTAGACCTGATGCTTGCCTGTTGTCGGGGTGATCTAGTGGCACACATTTGGGCATTCTTTGCTGGTCCTTTAACCACTTCCCTTTATCCAGTATTACCATGAATGCTGGCTACCTAGGAAACCCTTTCACCTAGCTGTGCTTGGACTTTATTTTTAACATTGTCTAGATTTTGAAACAAGTATTTTGTTTTAATGATAAACAATATTTTCTGTTATTTTTAAGCCAATTTTAAATCTTTTTTATATTATTTGTGTGTGTGTCTGCTGTGCATGTGTGCTTGTACATGTGTGTGTGTGTGTATGTACATGTGTATATATATATATATGTGTACATGTGTGTGAAGACATTTGTAAAGACAGTTCTCTCCTTTCATCATATGGGTCAGACTCGGTTCATCAGGCTTGACAGCAAGGGCCTTTATCTGCTGAGCCATTTTGTTGACTTTTTAAAGCCAATCCAGGTGTCAACTGAGACAGTGGTCCTTGAGGGCTACTTTCTCTTGGGTTTGGCACCTCAACCTTCGTGGCTCTGGCCTTACTCTGACTCACACAGGCTGCTAGGAAATGTCCAGAGTTATCTGAGAAACAAGAAGAAAAGTCCACATCCCCAAAGAGGTAGTGAATGTTCGGAGCTAAGATTTGTTCATCCCACCAGGCAAGAATAAGGCCAAGTTTGAAGCAAGCTTTATTAAATACTGGCTAGGACAATGGACACTGGCCAGGGCCATTCCTGGGATTCCCAGAGAATGGCCATGAATTATGTTAGCCTGGTGCTTATGAAGGCAAAACCAACACGGCTGTGCACGTCCTGCCTTTGTCAAGTTGTTGGCAAACATACATCCTGATGTCCTTCCTGCCTATGTAACTCCTCCTACAGGGTCTGTATGTATATGTGACTCTTATACAGGGTCAAGCATGTCCTGTATAGTTGGGGCAACCAACCTTGTTTATAAAAGTGAAAAGTCATGGCTTGTCTGCTTACATGGACAACAGCCCCCAGCATTCCAGGAAGTTGTCTGTTCTTGGCTAGATGGGATTTGAATTTTTGTTTTATAGATCTCTTAAACACAGTAATTTAAACTTAAACATCTAACTTTAACTCCCACAGACTGGCCAGTACTGCTCCCCTCTCTGAGAACATGCCCTGCCTGCATGCTACTATAAACTGCATGCCACTATATGAACTGATAACATGACCACTCCATGGTATAGTTAAGAGAAAGGTTATCATTGTAGATATGAGGGAGAGAACCATCAGAGGCACCTGGACGAGTTCAAAACAGAGAGAGAGAGAGAGGTAAACTGGATATGGGTAGCTATTTGTAAGAGAGAGGAGAAGAGCAAGGGGTGGAGGATAGAGAGATCAGAGCAAGAAAGCAGGAAGAGGAGCCTAGAGAAGAGCCAGGTCATGAGATGGGTGAGGAACCTAGGGGAGGAGGCAACTAGGTTGTTAGCATGGACTTGAAATGCTGATGGCACTGTAAGTTAATTGAAGAACCACAGATCCCCTTTTGCTGAGGTAAGGAAGTAGCCACTTTTGGTAGAACGAGCTTTACAAGTTCCTGAAGAATGCTGGCTAACTTCTAGAAAACCTATAGTCCAGGTTGAGTTGGGCTAAGACTCAATTTTGGACACGTCATTTGGCTTGCCTTTTTTGGGAGCAGCCTGGCAACCACCTGCTGCATCAGAGTCAGTAGAGGATAGTTCCAATAGCCTAGAGGCATAGCCATTTTTACCTAAAACTTGGGGCAGAGGGTCAGTGGCCAGGACTGAGGCAGGAGCTATCCCTTTTTCACCTCTGCCCCGCTGTCTAAATGTGCTTGTGCTGGTCATGGAAGGAAGCAAATGATTCACTTGTAAGAGTCTGTTAGGACCAATCCCTGGGTTTCTTGTCATGAGCAAGAAGGTAGATATTCATAGTCAGAATAACAAAAGTTGTACATTATTACGTTGGGTTCAAGGTGGAAGCCAAGAAATTCACTTCCGAGACAGAAGCTTAAAAATAAAAGCTTTATTTTCTGTGACACAGGGAGGCGGCCGGTTTGCAGGATCTGAATCTCAACCCTGAAGGGAGATTACAACATTTTTAGAGGGTGGGAACAGAAAGTGAGACGGAGCAGAATGCTCTGTTGCATTGACTAATTATATTTTGACACAAGGGGTTAAACAAAGAAGTTAAAGTAGGTCGATGAGCCTTACCTGGTCACCTGGTTTCAGGGTCCTTGAGTCAGCTTTGGCAGTCAGGTCCCCTCCTGGACTCTGGTCCAGAATTCAGAATGATGAGAGAACAAAGGCGTGGGCAAGCTGCACACAGTCAATTAAGTCAAGACAGGCAGTATGTTTGCTCTTTGCATGCTTTAGTGTAGATAGTGGGATAACAACAGCTTCCCTCTGTATGTCCTTTACTGGTTAACATATAAACATGAAACATCTGAAGAAGCAGGATAGGAGTTGGTTCTGGGGCCTGCGAACATGAACTCGGTTTTAGCCTTGCCAGCAAGATGAAACTTGTTCCTGAGATGCGTGGACTCAGGAAACTGTCTCTTAGTCATCATGCTGAGTCATCACACAAGGTTCAGACTCTAAATTCCTAACGACCTGAACCTGTCTTCCCAAGGTTGTTCACCTGTGCGACATATCTTTTCTGAAGGTCAGGTCCCACTTATAACAGAAGTCTCTGATTTGAGGGTCAGGATCCCGAAGGAGACTCTCCAGCCACAAGGTAGATCAAGGTGGTGTCTCTCCAGATGTGCAAAGAAGAACATTGTTCTTGGTCTCTGCTTATGTACCATGCAGTGGGTGTCATGGGGCTTTAGGACTGTGTCAGGTTATCTTGAGTGAGTAATGTCACTGGGTTCTGGTTATTAGGTGCAGCCTTGGGTTAGTTGGGTTGGATTCCCAACTAAGCTATGCTTACTTGTCTAAAAGGCATTTTTACTATGCTTATAACACCCACCCAATGCTAGCCCCAGCCAGATTTGGTTGTTGGATTTTAAGGACTTGAAAGAAACACCACCTATAAGAGTGTGCCACACAGTCTAAGATGTTTACAGAAAAAAATGTCTTGACCTGTGCCCTAAAATAAAGAAAGGATGCATATAGAGGCTGATGCAGGCAGGAGGCCGGACTCCATTGTGGTTTGCTTTGGAGGTCTCAGTCTGGGTACTGTTGTATATGATCAGCCGGTGATAATGTTTTGAGACAGGGTCTCCCCATGTAGTCCAGGTTGGCCTTGAACTCATCACAGCCCCCCCTTCCTCGACCTCACAAGCATAGGAATTACAGATATGAGCCACCATGCCTGTGGTTGGGGTCTTTCTCTCTCTTTGTGGTGCTGCAGATTAAACCTAGAGCTTTGTACATGTAAACACTGCACCACTGAACCACAAGTTTGTGAAACAGGGCCTTGTTATATTGCCTAGTCTAGGCAGTCTCCCGAGTGCCAGAATTTTAGGTGTGTACCACCAGACTCTGCTAAGGTACATAAGTTGGGGCTGAGGAGATAGATGACTTGCTGGTAAAGAACACTGGCTGCTCTTCTAGAGGACCCAACTTCAGTTTCCAGCACTCACTTGGCAGCTCAGAGCTATGAGGGCACAGTAAAACCACTGAACTGAACTGCTCCATGGCTAGAAAGAAAGCTTTATTTGGGAAAGTTCAATTTGCTATGGCTATCTCTGGGGGGGCTTAGTGCATAGCAAAAGACTGGGAAAGTATCACCAGTTTTTTAAGAGAAGGGTTGAGAGGGAACCTGGTAGTTAGGGTGGGGGTTCCTGTGGGTCAGGACAGCCTGGGAACTAGGAGGGGATTTTGATGTGTTGCAAGTATGTGTTGATAGGGAACTAGATGCCTGCAGGGACAGAGGAGGGCAGTAGAGACTCTCTGACAAGCAGAAACCTGCCTCACAGATTCTGAGGCTCTGCTTTTAGGGCTTTGTTTATCTACTAGCAGCCCTTCTGTTTACCTGGTCAGAGTGCAGCCCGAACTGATCCCAGACTGTCATTTTAGGGAACCCACTTTGGACCTAACAGCAATGGTCTGTAACTTTAGTTCCAGGGGATCTGACACCTTCTGACCTCTGTGGGTACTGTATGCACATGGTGCACAGACATACACACAGGCAAAGACACGGCTCTTTAAAAGTTTAAATTACATAATTTGATTTCCCCCTTCCCCTTTCCTTACTTGTTGTAGTAGTAGGTGTGATGTTGATCTGTTGAGCTTCCTCGTGTTCTCAGTGCACTGTAAGAGGGTCAGAAGGTCAAGGCCATCCTTACAGCATTCTCCACCCGCCTGGGACACCTTAGACCCTGTCTCAAGCAAAGAAGTAAAAAACCCAAAACTCTTGGTAAAACCAAAAATCTACATCCTTCCTCCCCAACAGAATCAAACCAAAGCAAGACCCCAAGTTGGTGATAGGTTGAGCTACACAAAGAACTCGTGAGTGCTTGCCAGCCTCACCCTTCCAGTGCTGGGATTATAGGTGTACTGTAGCTGTAGTTTGCTAGTTTTGGGGTCCTTCTTTCTTCCATCCTTTTCTACGCTGTTTCTTCCTTCCTTTCAGCCTCCTCACACTAGATAGGAGAGAAAGAAGGATAGAGAGGTGTGATGATAATTTTAACTACATTGCTATCTGGATTCACGAATGGAACACCACACACACACACACACACACACACACACACACACACACACACACCAGTTAATTCAATGCCTTTGGCTAGCTCAAAGTTTGGGCACTCCTAAACCTTCCCCTGTTACCCCAGGCCAATCGGGGAAACGGCCAATGGCCGGCCACCCACCCACATTCTCACATGACTGGTTGGCTTTCCCTCCTGTAGCTCCTACGTCCCATCCTTCTTCCCTGAGTCATGGCGATTTTCTGTCTCTTATCCTCTTTCCAGTGCCCTAGCCCACACAATTCCTGTCTCCCTTTGCCCAGCCATTGGCTGCTGACATCTTTAGTGATCGATAAAAAACCAATTGAGGACAAGGACCTTCAACCTTTGGACACACAGGTTCCCCATTAAATCAAAACATTAAAACCAATCTCTAACAGAGAGGGAAGGAATGAGATCCCTGAATAAAGTCAGGGGTCTGAAAGGGGGCAATATTATCTACAATTAGACTACTTCCTGCTGATCAGGAAAGGGGCATCGAGTTCCTTGAGGCAAGTTTGATCTTAGCAATCAGGATATCTAATTTCTTCTTCTTGTTGTTTCTTCTCTACACACAACTACCTAACAAACTGTGATCAACAACAACCAGCAACAGTCTACAGCAACCAACATCTAACTGACAACCCACTAACAAACGACCTCACCTCTCAGGGGCCTCTAAAAAGTTCCTAGAATTCCAAACATCACACAGTTGCAGAAGCTATCTGCAGCTGGCAAAATCACACCTCTGCCAGAGCTCAGCCTTCCACTTTCTTACAGGGTGACATGATTGATGTCTGTGTCCTCTTGCAGACTATAAGCTCCAAGAGCACATAATAACCATTTGTTGGCTCTTTGCCCTTGTGATGAACACAGTACTTGCTTTTAGGAGATACTCAGCAAGCTCTCATAAATGAGTACTTAAAGGGTCCTTTCTGAGTTCTGTGGTCCTGATTTTAGCCCCATCTAGGCCTGGGGACTTGAGGAGCCCCAATGCTGTGGTATGTGTGGAGGTCCTGTCATGCAGATGTGTTCTTTCTCCATAGGACACTGGATGGGAGCGCCAGCCTCCCCCAGGTACATGGCTGGGCCCCACTGCAGGTGCTTCATGGAGATGCTGATGCGGACGCCGATGTCCTCTTCCCTGTCAGTGGAGTGGGCTCCTATGGTGCATCAGGTGAGTGTGTCCTATCTTCTCCAATAAGAGCTTCTGTTCCAAGAACCAGAGGGGTTTTTGACTTATCTGTACAGGTAGGAATAGGTAGGAACTAGAAGATCTGAGGCTCAGGGCAAGCATGGCTTGTGGACATTCAAAATTAAGAAGTAGCTTAGAGATTTCCTTTAGAACTGGAGTGTTATAGATGCTGCAGCAGAATGCCTTGGGGTAAACTGGTTGACAAGACCCTAGGAGACTCACCTGCCCCTAACGATTTGTTGCTAAACTTGGTCACATCAAAGTTAACCATAACCAGTGACCATTATTTTGCACCTTAGGAGATGGGAGAAGCCACCTGAACTCTGTAGAGGCCCCACCCAGCACCTGTGCTTCTCTTTCTGTGTGTGCTTCTCTTTCTGTGTGTGCTTCTCTTTCTGTGTGTGCTTCTCTTTCTGTGTGTGCTTCTCTTTCTGTGTGTGCTTCTCTTTCTGTGTGTGCTTCTCTTTCTATGTGTGCTTCTCTTTCTGTGTGTTCATTCTCCTTCTGTGTTTGCCTATTTGGTGATGGCTTCAGAGATGTACAGCTAATCTGAGAGCATTCTTCAGTTCATCTGGTCTTACTTCATCCCCTCGGATCTAACATTCTTACCTTCTTTGTCCTTATTTCTAGCTTCAGTGGCTGCTTGTTAAGTTGAGGAGTATATTAGCTCATTCTCTGTTGCTGTGATAAACACAATGACCAAAAGCAATTTATTAAAAAAATGAATTTATTCTGGCTTCTAGCTCCAAAGAGTTAAGAGACCATCACAGTAGGAGGCATGGCATCAGGCATGCATGACAATCAGAGAAGGAAGCTGAGAGTTCCTATCATCCACCATAAATAAGGCGTATAGTGTAAGTGCCCATGGTGGCCAGAAGAGGGCATTAGGTCTCCTGGCACTGGAATTATAGGCAATTAATCGTGAGCCACTAGATGTGGGTGTTGTGAGCTGAATGTAGGTCCTCTGGAAGAACAGCAAGGGCTCTTAACCACTCACTGACCCATCTCTTCAGCCCCATAGTCAAATCTTTTACAATTACATTTACTTGTTTATGTATTTTGAGTGTGAGTGTGTGGAGATGTGTCATTGCATGTGCAGAGATCAGAGGACAACTTTTGGGAGTCACTTCTTTCTTTCCGGGGGTCACACTGAGATCATCAGGCTTGACAACACATGCCTTTATATATTGAGCCATTTTGTAAGTCTAGTAGTTTTTATTCTGAGACATTGTTTCTCTAAGGCTACTTATGTTGCTTTTCAACTAGCTGTCTTCCTGCCCCCTCAAGTGGCTGGGATTACAGTTTATGCTAATGGCCATGACTTGAGGCTGTTTTTTTTAATTACCAGTGTGAAGGAAAAATGTATAGAATGTGTCTCCCGAATGCTTGGGAAAAATGTATAATGTGTCTTCCGAATGTATCCCTAGTTTATCTGTTACTTCTTGCCAGGACTGTTACAAAATGGCTTCTCAACAAGCCTGCACCGGCTCCTTTTGCCCATTTCTATCTGTTCTTCTTTTATCAGCTAGAGCAAATACAGAGAACAGTCAAATTTCATCATTCCCATGCTCTGGCACTCCCTCTGCACTTGGGCTAGTTTGCTGTTGTTACTGTAGCCATTAAGCCACCTCCAAGCAGTGGAGCCTCACCCCTCTCATCTCTTATCCACCTGCTTCTGTTTCTCACTCGCTCTCCCACCTTCTGTATTCCCAGTCATCCCTCAGGTTGTAGCTTAGATGTCCTCATTTTTTTTTTTCCTTTTTCTTTTTGAGACATAGTCTTGCTATATATCCATGGCTGGCCTCAAACTCATGTAGACCAGGCTGACCTTAACTTGTGGCAGTCCTCCTGCCTCTGCCTTCTGAGTTCTGGAACTAGAACACAAAGCTTTCTTGACAAATAACACTTTTTAAAAAATGCCTTTTTTTAAAAAAATTTCTCCCTTCTTGGACAGGTCAGGTTTCATGTCCCATACTGTATAACCCTGAAAAGCTGTCTTCATTTTTCTGATGGAGATATTGTGCAGAGACAGATCTGTGTATAACTAGACAGTGCCTGTCCTTTCTAGTCTGTGAGGTTCACAAGTACAAGGCCATGCCTGTCTTCTAGTGTTACCCTTCGTTTGAGACCGGTCAGTTCTGAGCACCCAGTTGGGACTGTAGGTAAACTCCTGCTGAGTGGATGAGCGGATGGTTGTAGACAGTGAAGAGATGCTGCAGGGCAAGGATGTGAAGTGTTGGGAGAATGATGGCCACACAGGACACAGGGCAGACAGAGGTGCTGAGGCAGGAGAGCCAGGCGGTCAGAGGGACAAACGTACTTCAGGTCAGTTTAGTGAGCCTGCCTGCTGACGTGAGGAGGGATCAGCCCAGTGCTCAACAGATGCTTCACTTACAAACTCCAGGATCCTGCTAAGTCAGGTCAGTCCTTGGGCTTTGTGTCTTCTTCTGTGAAGTTAAGATAATACAGACTGGGGGTAGAGCCCAATGGTAGAGCATCTTCCCAGCTCCTGTGTTCTCTCCCACCACCATACATAGAATAAAAGATGCCAGTGGCTGTTGTTTATGTTCTGTGTGCCAGTGCATCTGGCCCACCTCAGTGCTGGCCGTGTGTATGCCACACAGAGGGGCCAAGTCAGTGCTGTATCTGGAATGACCTTTATTCCAGCCATGCATGGTATTGGACTCTGTCAGTTGTGACTGAATTTCAGCATTGAAGATGACTGAGCTGAGGTAGCCTCCTGCTGAGGGATCCTTACAAGACACTGAGCCTTCTAATCAGAAATTAGCATATGAGCAGAGTGAGGGATAATTTAGTGACACTGGAGATTTTGGATATTGTGTTTGTCAGTTCCTGCCACTGTAACAAAATACTTGGGATGTCAGCTTATAGGGAGGAAAGGTTTATTTTGGCTCACAAGCTTAGAGGTCTCGTTCCATGTTCAGCTGCTGCACTGTCTTGTGGTGAGGCAAAGCATCATGTTTGGGAATGCACGATGGAGGAAGCTGCTTACCTTATGGTGGCCAGGAAACGTAGAGAGATAGGAAGGGACCTGGGTCCCAGGATCTGATTCTTCAAGGCCACATCCTCCAGGGAACCAGGTCCTGCCTCTTACAGTCCTATTGTGGCACCATGAACTAAGGATTAAACAAACCATAAGCCTTTGCCAGGAACTGTAACCTTAGCTGATTCACCTGGCTCTGTGGTGAGTGGACGGCAGGTGCCTCTGAGCTAAGAGTCCAAAAGGAAATAGGATTATAAGGTTCAGGGGTTTTAAAAATGCAGGAGGCTGCTGAGGTCTCAGTAGAACTTCCTGATAGCCAGAAACGATGAGCCAGGATTTAGGGCTGAGGTTTCAGCCAAATGAGGGAGTTTGGGAGTTATCATCTTGAGAGGTAAGAGTATACACTAGACTTATAGGATTATTCAAAGTCACAGGGGTCAAAGAGCAATTGATGGCTCACATATGTAATCCCAGGCCTCAGGAGGTGGAGGCAGGATTGTTACAAATTTGCAAGCTACAGGGTGAAATCTTGTCTCAAAACCACAATATAAAATTTAATTATGTCAAATAATTGTTAAAATGTTGTACAGTAGGCCAGACAAGTATGATAGGCACATGTTTGTAATTCCAGCAATCAGAAGGCTGAGGCAAGAAAAGGTTGAGTTAGAGGCCAGCCTGGGTTACATAGGGAGACCCTGTCTCCAAACAGAGCAGAGCAAAGCACAACAAAACGGGAAGCAAGGCATAGAGAGGCTGCGTGGCTGGACTGGAGTTGACAGTGGGGCCCTGCAGATGCCAGTAGCATCTGCACCCTTTAGCCTCACTGCTAGGTAGCAAGAAGGGGAGAAGTAGTCACTTGGTTTCTCATCTGATGCCTCACAGTCCTGGGATGGAAACCAGGCTTGAAGTGCCCTTGGGGTACTGGAGCCAGTGGGGGTTGCCTGGAATGTGCAGCCAAAGGTGAGAAAGGATTTATCTCCTCCAGGCTCATTTCCCTTAAGCCTAAGAGAGGCCCAGAGGATTGTTCTGCCTCTGTGGCTCCTTTGCCTGAATGAGCAAGGGTTCCCCTGAGTGATACAGTCTTCCTGGACATCCAGCCCCAGATCTCCAGGTCTGCACTTTTTTCCTGGAAGGAGGCCTGAGCATGCATCTGCAACAATTAGAAACATTCTTTGCCTGTTTGTTCTAGAGATTCATGGTCTCACTTCCTTCCCCAAATGCTTAGTGGCTTTTGTCTAGTAGAAAGTGTCAGACTTCGTCAATGCTGAGGTGCTGCTGCCCTCTAGTGTCCACTGCAAGCATGAGGAACTAGTCTAACAACCCTGCTTCTGCTGTGGGCCCTAGATTATGGACTTTGGGAATAACTTCCCTTGCTTCAGGGTTTTTAAAAAAAAGGCACATGTAGCAACTAGTGCTGAGTCTCAATGATGCCTTCTAAGAAGAAATGGGTAGCAGATGAAGTCTGTGTGTGGGTGGGAAGAGTTTAAAGGGAGCCAGTAGACCAGCTGGGCACATGGTAAGGAGAAATGGTGTTGAAAATAAAGCCTCACCCTCTCTCTGTTTCTGCAGATGCCCCTGTGGGAAGTCTGGAGAATGGAACAGAAACAGAGGACCACATAATCCCAGAGCCTGGCATTCGCTACAGGTCAGTATCAGGACACCAAGCCCATCAGTGGACTGGGATGTGCTGTTTATGTCTCTGCCTTTTATTCTCATTTGAAGATCGGTGGTACGTGTTGGAGTTGAAGACTGAGGCCTGACCTCATGCTTGTGCTCAGATGCACAGCTGTTGGGGTCATGGGTGACCATTCACCCAGTCAAACTACTTTATAAGACAGCATCCTAGCTGGGTGGCCCCTCAGTGGCAGAGCACACGTACAATGTGCAAAAAGCTCAGGGTTCCATTCTCAGCACACAGAGAAGAGTCAGCAGCCATCAAACCTCATTTGCATGCCCCTGTCCTCGCCACAGCCCTGCCGCCATACTGAGTACCTCCACCCCAGCCTTCCTAGTTAAAGTTTGATAGTAGTTGATAGTGGTGCTTATCAGCCCTAGTGTTAAATGATGTCTAGGCCAAGGGTGAAGAGGTACTAGCTGTACGTGATTAGTGTATTGCCTGGCAGCTTGTAAGTGCAGAAGCTTTTCTCTTTCACATAAAAAAAAAAAAAGGAAATCTAAGTTGTCAGTGTCACTGTTGCTCACAGGGGACATTGCTCTGGTTTCTGTCAGTGTCGCTGTTGCTCACAGGGGACATTGCTCTGGTCTCTGTCAGTGTCACTGTTGCTCACAGGGGACATTGCTCTGGTCTCTGTCAGTGTCACTGTTGCTCACAGGGGACATTGCTCTGGTCTCCCGAACATCACCTCATCTCTGTTGCTATTATCTCTTCCTCTCTCTTCACAATTTTCAATTTCTTCACAATTTTGTCTTGAAGTTATCCATCTGTGTGCTCGACTTAGCTTCAAGGTAAGGGGGTCCTTGCTGGCCCACACTTTGCTTGGTATTATGTCACCCAGAACAGACAGGATTCTGAAAATGACACACCATGAAGGGCCTGATACTACTGAGCCCAGTCTCATAAAGGGTGGTGTCACTGCACCCTTCCAGGACCCTCACTGCACCCTTCCAGAACCCTGACTCCTTTCTTGTTATGTTTTTGAGCCTTTTCCAAATGCAACAGTGATCAAGGAATGCGAGCCCCAGCCACGGGGTCTCTCTGCTGCTTATGGACAAACCAGTGCTATCGTTTATATTAGAAATTGATTGTAGGTATGCACACAGTCCAGTTACCTGCAAACAGTCATTATGCTCTCTAAGCCTCTTAGAGCACCAGCCCTGCTTACAGGGGGATGCTGGAGCCTGTTGTCATGACATTTCTATATCCACTGATTAATGCATAGCCTGGTTCCATGTCTGTCCTCATTTAAAGGCATCTGGTTTAGAATCTAAAAGAGATGTAGCTCAGCTGTAGGAGAGTGCTTGCCTCACATGCATAGAGCTCTAGGTTTGATCCCTAGCACCATATAAAACTGAGTATGGTGCTTGGGAAGCGAAGACAGAAGGATCAGAAGTTCAAAATCATCTTTAGCCACATAGCAAGTTCTAGCCTGGGATCCATGAGAGACTATCAGAAACAAATGCTGTTGACTAGTTGACACTGGATAGTTATGTTCCACGCTTGTCTGAGTGAAGCTTATATAACATGTGGGGCACTTGCACTAGGGACATGGACCCAGGGGCTATTCTAACTAGGAAAAGTGATAATATAAACCACAAGAATGTGACAATATAGACCACTGAAAGGTCGTGTGTTCACAATTGGAAGAGGAAGGCAGTGGTTTCTTCCTTACCCTAGCTGCAGACATCCCCATTGAGTGGCTCTAACTTTTCCCTCATTAATGAGCAGCTTACAAAGGGTGTTTGAATTGATTTCAGAGTTACCAGTAAATTTCAGTCATCCGTCAAGGCAGCTGCATTGTTTTTCCAGTAGATTCCTGGGGTAATATTTTGCCTGTGAGTGTTGTGTGTGAAGTCGTGTTTTGGGATGAGTGTAACTTCCTTCTGTCTACTTTCTCCCAGTAGGGAAGCCGGTTCTCCAGGCCGAGGAAGTCCTCTGAGTAGCTTGTTGCCTTCTGCCTCAGTGCCTGAGTCCATGACAATCCGTGAGTATTCTCTGAGGCTGGCATGTGTGCCAGCAGTGCTTATCCTAGACAGGTGTGGACATTGCAAGCAGGCATGAAGTTAGTGAGTGTTTACTTTCTGTGTACCTGATTGTGGTATCACTGTAGGCTTCCAGACTGTGGCCAGATTGTGGTGCTTGGGGGTGTGTCTGCTAAAAAATACAAGGAACCTTCTGTGCCTTCTGTGGTTTCTAAGCTACCTTCTGTGTGCTACCAGCAGTAAGAGATTCTTCTAGCTGACTTTACTTGTGACTCTGGACAAATCAGTTTTGCTGATGATATAGTCTAATGACCAGATGGTGCAAGTCATTTCCAGCTCCAGCTCCAGGATAAAGTATTAGAGACACAGCAATGAAGGGTGGGTGTGAATGGCCCATATTGCCTACCTACACACAGACACAGACACAGACACACACACACACATATACAGACACAGACACACACACAGACACAGACACACACACACACACACACACACACACACACACACAATTGTTTAACAAGATAGATGTTCTATGACTAGGTCAGCAGGTGGGGGGTTGGGCTGGTGCCCTGACTGGGTTGGCAGAGGGGGCTAGGGTGAGACTCCATGATCATCAGAGGCCAGTGCTCTTCCTTTTCCCGACTGGCTGTTGTATTTGCTTTCTGAGCTCTAGCCATCTCATTCCTACCTCTGATAGCAGGAGGGAGGTGGGCAGAGGCCAGGCTTTCTGTTTCCATATCACATTCAGGGATCTACACTTGGATAGTATAAAAATTACACCTTTCTTCCTCACTAGCCTTTGGGTGAAAATTAGTATTTCCTTCAGACACCAATGTGCAACAAACCCTGAGCCCATAGTGGTGATGGCAGATGGAGAGTGACTGTCTCCCAGAGAAGTTACAGGCCCCTTTAACAGCATCCCAGGATGCCATTTCTACTTGGAAATCCATTATCATAGAAATACATAGAAACTTACGTATAGATCTCCTGGATCTCCACATCTGGACCTTTCTGTTTGCCCATGCACACTCTC